TGCGGGGCTGTGGCAGTGGGCCGTCCAGTCTGGCGGCCGGGTCTTATCTCCCTGTCCCAGTGAGCTCATCGGCCAGATCAGCTGTTGTGGCCGTCTTGTCGCGAACGTGGACGTGGATCGGCAGAACCGGGAAGGGTGGATGGCGTTATTCTCGACCACCGTCTCTGTGCTCTTGAACTTTAACCCTCGCCCTCCCCCCCCCCCCCCCCCCCCCCCGGCTGCCTGTCGCCGCGGCCGGCGTTGGCCGAGCTGTTTGGCCGTCGGCTGCACCGGCTGGATTAAAGTTAAGCCGCGCCGAACGGACTCCGCGCCTTTGAACGGAGCTGCGGCGCGAGAGCGGATGCTTTACGCCGCACTGCTGGGGAGGCTGCAGGGGCGGGCCGGCTGGGCGCGGGCCGGCCGCCGCCGCGCGCGCCGCCGGGACAGCCAGGTGGCGCCCGCCGGCAGCCGTGCCTCGGGGCGGACAGGTGGGAGCGGCGGGGGGGGGGGGAGGGGGCAGCACCACCTGGTGCCCGCGGTCGTTCCGACCAGCTGACTGGCGGCTGGGGCATCGACCATCCGACCGGCTTCCGCGACCGGCCCCTCCCACAGCCAGCTGCCGTGCGGGCAGCGGTCGGCCGCCACATCGCGGTCCGTCACGGCACCGGAGACTGTGGGACCGCAGGAGACCGCCGCTCGGCCGCGGCCAGAGATAACGACCGACCGAGCCGACCGGCGGGCCCGAGCCCGGACCCGGGCTCGGACCGGCCGGCGGGCGGGCGCCGCACCGTCCTCGGCCGGCGCCGGTTCCCAGGCTGGTCGGCGATTGTCGAGCGCCGGCCGCGCCGTTTTACGGCCGGGCGGATGGCCCGCGCGCCGCGCATTGTCGCCGAGCGTTGGGCCGCGCCGCTGTCCTTGGCTGGACGGGACGCGCGCGCGGCCGCGCGATGACGCGGCGCTTGTCGCGTTCGAGCCCCGGTGTAGTCGGGCGTGGTGACGCCGCCGGCCGATTGGCTCCGGCCAGCCCGGCCGGCACGGCGCCGTTCCGGTCGCTCCGGAGTGTTGAACCCTTTTGGCCGGGCCGGTATGCCGGCGGACCGGTGCAGACAATGGCGGCCACGTGAGCTGACGCCCACACGGCTGCTGCGGACTAGTGACAGTCCTTATCGCCCTTGGCGTGGCTCCGCTCTCGGGTCTCCAGCCGGCGCCGCCAGCTCAGGTCCTGCTGGCCGGCCGGGCGTACAGCGCTCACGCTGGTGCGCGTCGGCGGCCTGGTTCCCGGTAACTAGGTCGTAGGCGGGGGCGCACTCGCGCCGTACCGCCGTGCCGGGTCCGGTGTGGCGCAACTCGGTCCTTCCGCCGCTGGCCGGCCGGCCGGAGGACGCTATCTGGTCGGGTCACGCCACCGGCCGATAGCGTATCACGTGGCGCGGCGCTGGACAGCGGCGCCGTCGGTCCGTTATCTGGGACGGCAGATGGCTGCGGCTCGATCGCCACCTGTTCTCGGCGGCTCCCGTGCGGCCGCCGGCCTCCGGCGCCCGTGCTGGCGGTCGCTGCCGCCAGCCCCGGTCGTCGCCGGATCCATCACCGGCACTGTCGCTGCGGCGCTGTACGCCACATTCCTCGTTTGTTGGCGGGAGCGGGGGCGGCGGCCGGGCCGACCCGGACCGCGCCGGTCCGGCCGGTCCCGAGCCGGGCGGCGTCGCGGCCACGCTCGCGCTCACGGAATGCTTTGAAGTGCCGGCCGCCGCTTTTGTTGCCGCCGCGTCGCCGACCGGCTCCGCGGCAGTAATGGGGTGCTTATCTGTTGCCCTGTTTCTGAGGCTCGTTCGTCGTGTTCGAGCGCACTTCGGGTGCGGGCGGTGGTCTCTGTGAGCGGGAGTGCTCCCACCGTTCTCGGCCCGGGCCGTCGGCAGCCGCGGCCGACGGGAGCAGCCCTTAGCTGTCCCCTCCCCCCCCCCCCCGTCGCCTTCGTGGCGGCGGCTGGCGTGTTCCCGGTGACCCGTGGGACCCACGCTGGCCTCGGCGGCCATCGGATCGGTATCGACCGGCCGTGCTGCCTCCGCTCCGCGGCCACCGCCCCCGACACGGCAGCGGCGGCGGAAGCGGGCGACACCCCTCAGGGGATCCCCGCTCGGCGCGAGCGTGTGGCTGCGGTCCCGACAGGTCTCGGAGGCGACGCCAGGGGACCGCCGCCACCAGCTGACGGCAGGCTGCGCCGGCGGCGGTGCCTGTTCTGCGACGACGGACGTCCGCCCGGCTAGCCAGCTCGGCTCCGGCCTCGTGTCGCCGGCTGGGCCGATAGCCAGCGGACCGAAATGGCTTTCCAGTCGGGCATGTCCGGCGGGAAGTAAGCGATAATCGGCCGCTAGCACGCGACAAACACGACGCCGATGATGCCGGTCGTACTTACGGGGCGTGAGGTCGTAACATGTGATCCAGAATGATGACCCGGCGGATTCGGGTCGTTCCCCGACCTGTGCTGTTCTGCACGCCGTTTCGACGGCTTAACTGGTGAACTGGTTCTGGTCACGTCGAGCAAAACTGACCTGTCAGCTGCCGTATTGAAGGCTACTTTCTCGTCCACGTCAGTACTTGAGCGCTGGAGGGCCTGGCCGTGGACGGACGCGGTGTCGGCTCGATCGCGCAGTGTCGCAGTCGGACCACTAGCGCAGGAGGTCCCGGCCGCGGACGGACGCGGTGTCGGCTCGCTGGCGCTGTGTCGCGGTCGGACCACTAGCGCAGGAGGGCCTGGCCGCGGACGGACGCGGTGTCGGCTCGCTGGCGCTGTGTCGCAGTTGGACCACTAGCGCAGGAGGGCCCGGCCGCGGACGGACGCGGTGTAGGGTCGATCGCGCTATGTCGCAGTCGGACCACCAAGCGCCTGCTCTGCGAAACGCCACCGAAGCTCGCATCATTCACCCGCCCGTGAGCCTGCGCCGTTGGGTCGTGCCGGCTGGCGGCCGGCGTCCTACCGTCGCCCGCCGCCCGCCGCCCGCCGCCCGCCGCCCGGAACGACGCGGGGAGCGGGGAGGCGAGTGCACCGTCCGCCGCCGGGTGCCGCGCGCGCTGACTCCCACCGAGCGCGTGCACAAAGCGGAGCGCCACCGTACGGCCCAGTTTTTTGGGCGGGCGGCGCGCGGGCGGCGGAGGGGGCTGCTCCCCGGCCGAGCGCGTACAATGCGCCGCCCGCCGGCGCTGGCACAAAGGCGCAGCCCGCACGGCCAGCGCCACCGCCGCGGGCGAGCCGTCCGGCTTTGTGTGCCGCGCTGGTGGGTGGTCGGGCCGGCGGCGGCGGCGGCGGGTCGCACGGCACACCGTGCAGGCTGCCGGCGGGGGGACGGGCGGACGCGTGTCGGCTAGGGCGGCGGCGACGCAGCGCCACACTCGACCGTCGGCCGTCCGCCGGCGCCAGCTGCGGCGCGGCGGGGTGCGGCCCAGTCCGCGGCCGCTGCGACTCGGCCGGGCGGCTCTGGTGGACGCCGTGGCCGACCTGGGAACGACGCGGCGGCATCCATCTGTCGCCCGTGTACACAGACGTGGGAGCGGACAGACGCTCACGACCGTAGCTGGCTTCACCTGCTGCAGCGGGCGGCGCAGCGCGGCGCAGGGCCGGCGCAGCGGCGGCGCGGGCCGGACGGCTCGTGCTCCGCGGACCGGTCAGACTCGCGAGGTTCTCACGCCCCCTCCCCCCCTCCCCTCCCCGGCCGGGGCCGGCGCGAACCGCTGCGTGAAAGTGGCGCGGTGGACGGCAGCTGACCGGGAAGGGGCGCGGCGGACCGCAGCTGACCCGGCAGGGGCGCGGCCGACGTCGGTTCATCCCGGACCGGTCCAGGGGACGTGACGGCCGGCACCCCGCGCTTGGCCGGCGCCGGCTGACCCGGCGGGCGGTGAGACGGCCTGAGTCAGGCTCTGGTGCGGTGACCACTGCCGGGAAAACAGACCAGGCCAGTTCTGTTCAGCGTATCTAGGAACCTTTGCAGCACGTGAGTTAGTATCCGGTCCGATGCGGCGCACATGGTGCCAAGGTGGTACCACGTGGTACAAGACACCAAAAGATACCTGAACACTTGCGAGGGAGGACACAACACGAGCAATAAATGAAGGTTAAAGTCACTTATAAGCCTTAAGGAACATTGGGCGGCAGAGGATCAAGCAGTCGGCGCGCCCGAAAGCCCTGATCAGCAGCATCATCGAAAGGAGCACAGGAGGGAAGACAGGCTCAAAGCTCTGACATTAATCTGCATGACCGAGCCCGCTGGCCCATTAGCCGTGTGTTCGAGAGCGGACGGCGGTGAGCGGCGGCCAGTGCCGGGACGTCGCTGGTCGCAATCACACCCGGCGCGCCACGGGGCCAGGCGGTTGGCGTCTGCTCGCTGGAGGCGCCTGCTACCCTTTCCGCGCGGGCAGTGACGGGTGGACGCGGGCGGAAGGGGTCTGTAGGGGGACGGAGCTCCTCTGGACCGGCTGGTAATGTCTTTTTCCTCGTGCGCGAGCGGCCGCGTCAGATGGCACCTCAGATGGTGCCGAGCAGTCATTGGTAGCAGACCAGACGCGTTGTACATATGTATTCGCCGCTTGTGGAACATGACGCGTCTGCACAGCGCCCATCCACTTGTTGCCTTTCAGCTTACGTACCGGCGCCGCGGTCAGTGGCGCGTTGGGCGCTTGGCAACCACCCAGTGGAGATCTCTTTGACTATCTGTTTGGTCAACAGGGGATTTCGTAAATGTGAAAAGTGTTCTGGAATGACGGCCATGTTTGCTCCGCTGTGCGCCATTTTATTGACGTTTTTCAACATTGCCGGGATTCGCGCTACTAAACATCTAATGACAGCGCCCGCGCTATTGGATGTTTGTGATATACTGATGTGCTTCCGTCACGGATTCGTAGTGGCCGCCGTGCCCCCGTCACGTGTCGGTGACCCGCTGTTGTGGTGCTGCCTCGCGCCCGAGCCAGCGCCGCAGACCCGTCTCATGTGTACGGCGCCCCGTGCTAACCTAGTCCGCACGCTGTTCCAGATCAAGTACGCGCTGCTGGACGAGCGCGACATCAGCCTGGTGCAGCAGTACGTGTTCGAGGCGCGCCTGGAGATCGACCGCAACGGCAACGGCGCCAGCATCTTCGCCTGGTGCTACGACATCAGCCGGGGCCGGAGCTCCGGCCAGTACGTCCACGCCATGCTCTGGTGAGGCCGCCGCTCCGCCCGGCGAGGCGGCGTCACCAGCGGCGCCACCAGCGGCGTCCGCGTCCGCTAGCCAGTCGGGCGCCGAGCGATTTGTCCGCAGTGCGGTGCTCGTTAGCAGGCGGCGGCCGGCTTGCGTCCTGTCAGCTGGCGCTGGGAGAGGCCGGACTGGGGTCGGCGCCGGCCTGCTCCTGGGGCCGACGCTCCCGGGAGTCCGGCCAGCCGCGCCGGTCCGCGCGCACGGCCGGGGCGGCGGACGCGGTGGCCGCCGGTCCCATCGCTCGCCGCGGCAGTCTGGCTCTGCGTGGCGCCCGTGCGCGGAGCGGGCCCGGAGGCTGAGTGGGCCTCCGGGTTGGTGTGGGTCGCGCGAAGCTGAGCTGGGCGTGAAGCTTCGTCCATAGACGGTAATGGCATGGCTACGGACAGAGAGAATAACTCGGTGAAAACCGTGCCACCATTGATCGGAACACCGCAGTCCCGGTCCCGCAGCGAGGCACAGACCGGAGCAGCGCCCCGCACCTCCGTATGTACGCCCGGGTTAGACAACCACATACCAATCAAATCCATCCGAGCGCGCATAACAGGAAAGGGAGTGCGCGCGTTACCTCAGTCCGGAGTATCACACGGCGGCGCCGCCGCCCGGAAGGCCGCTGTTCCGGCGGCGCCGCCGGCCGCTCCGGCCGCTGTGTACGCGCCGCCGCGGTCTAATTGCCGGCCCGGATGCCGGTAATGGCCGCCTGGCCGGCTACTGGCGAGCTGGCCGGGCGCACCCGCCGGCCTGGTGCCGGCCAGAACTGGGGCTAGGCCTGTGGTGGCGCTCTGACCACGCTGGCGCCAAACCAGGGCCGAGAGTGGGATCACACACATGGCCGGACTGAGGCCACACTCGGGGTGGTGTGGGACTGAACACGCTGACAGGCGTGGGCTGGGCCGTTGACCGAACGCGGTGGGTCCACTTCGCTGCGAAATCAAGTCTAAAGGTCGATGTTTCAATCGAAGCTCTGTTTTTTTGTGGGGAATTTTATCGCAGTATCTGCAATTGTAAGAAGTCTGTTAAGAATGAGTCATTTCACCGCAAGCATCTTAAACATCGATCTTGATGATAATTCTTGATCTTGATGATCACGTGCGCAGCAGGTCTTTGTAACCAGTCTGACAAAGACTTGTTCGAAGTCGGGATTGTAGACCCGCTTAGATGCCGATGCTAGCAGCAGAAATGGCAACGTATTTTAAGACAAAGACGTGCCCCCCCCCCCCCCTCATTGGCAATGCAGTCTGGCTTGTGTCAGCGCACAGCGTGTTAGCAATCTTGCAACATGACATGCACGTTTGCTTGTCTAGTTCCTGCTCTGGAAACTAAGCTGTCCCGTGTACGGTTTGCTGTTATCGTGGCGGAATAGACAGGTGCTGCATTGTGTTCATCTGCTGTGTCGGTGCTCTGCGAGTGGCCTGCTGTGCTCTGACATGTGTCCCGCCTTGCGCTCCCTGAGTTTTGCTTTGGATGTGTGTCCCGAGTCCCGCTGTGTGCCGCTGCGTTGCTCTGGTCTGTTTTGGATGTGTGTCCCGAGTCCTGCTGTGTGCCGCTGCTTTGCTCTGGTCTGTTTTGGATGTGTGTCCCGAGTCCTGCTGTGTGCCGCTGCGTTGCTCTGGTCTGTTTTGGATGTGTGTCCCGAGTCCTGCTGTGTGTCGCCGTGTTGTGTTGGTCTGTTTTGGATGTGTGTCCCGAGTCCTGCTGTGTGCTGCTGTGTTGCTCTGGTCTGTTTTGGATGTGTGTCCCGAGTCCTGCTGTGTGCTGCTGTGTTGCTCTGGTCTGTTTTGAATGCGTGTCCCGAGTCCTGCTGTGTGTCGCCGTGTTGTGTTGGTCTGTTTTGGATGTGTGCTCCGTTAGTGTTGCTTCGTGCCGCCGTGCGTTGCCATGTGTCCCGGGGTGCTGCCGCTCCGTGCCCCGAGATGCTCCTGCATGCTACTGTGTGCTGCGCTGTTCCCCTGAGTAACGCCCGAGTGCTGCACTGTTCCCCTGAGTGCCGCCCGAGTGCTGCACTGTTCCCCTGAGTGCCGCCCGAGTGCTGCACTGTTTCCCTGAGTAACGCCCGAGTGCTGCACTGTTCCCCTGAGTGCCGCCCGAGTGCTGCACTGTTCCCCTAAGTGCCGCTGTGCGCCGCTGAGCGCTGCGCCGGGCCCATGTGCGATGGCTCCGCCGCTGCGCGGTGCCTTGCGTCGAGCGGCGCCGCTGGCGCTGCGACTCTGCTCAGTGCGCCGCGCCGTGGCCGCGGGACTGGCTGACGCTCGGATGACGCCCGCCAGGGAGCGCTACTGCGGCGGCGTGGCACCCGGCTGGAGGGTGGCGCACCACAACGGCATCACGGTCGATAACCGGCTGGAGAACCTGCAGCTGGTGCGCGACCAGGCGCGGCTGCCGGCCGGCCGAGCCCAGCAGCCGGCCGGCAAGTCAACCTTGGCACGACCACCGCTTGACAACACCATCTACTGGCGCGCCATGCAACAACTGCCTGCCGACGTCACCGAGGTGAGGCGACACCTGCTACGGCGGCCACAGTGTACTGCTGTGTGCCGACAGACGGTGGACCCATCGATAGGCGGTTGATGTTGCCATTTGTTTGGTAGGCGGCCGCGGCACCCGCCGGTTTTGGAGTAGTGAGGCGCAGCACCCTATGCCGATGTGAAGCGTGCCCACGTCGGCTCATGCTCTGGCGTATCTGATCCTGGCTGCGGTGGATGGAGCCTGCGGAACACCCAGTTGTAAACTGACGCGGCTGGCGACGTTGGCGGTGACGGATGTTAGCGTGATCGCCGCTTGGACTCGCGGAACTCGATGCCGCGCCCGAGCCATTCCCGGTCGCGGTCCGAGCTGGCCCGGACCCGGGCCTGGCCAGACACCGCTGTAATCACCCACCGTCGTGATATATGGGCCCGGAATTCTGATCAGACTGCACCGAACAAAAAAAGAAACCTTCTCTCATGGACGCACCTATTTCGCAAATGTATCCCTTTCTTCCAACCCTGAAAGAAAACGTGGCTAACATGCCAATCCGCACCGCTCGGGAGATCTGTCGAACCCAAGCGGCCGCAGTTGCCGAGCCTAAAGCCCCCGAACCGCCATGTAACGTCACATGACCGGCCGGTGCCGACCAGCGCCGCGGGCGGCGGTACCTGCCGGTGCTGCGCGCCGCGCTGCCCTGCGGCCGTGCCGGCGGGCCGCCGGGCAGGCAGCCGTGACTTGGCCGTCACGGCCGGCGGCTGGCGGCGCCTGAACCCGGCAGCGAGCCTTCACCCCGTCACGGCGGCGCGGCGCCGTCCCCCGGCCCGGCCCGGCCCGGCACGGCACCGGGCGAACCCTCTGTTTGTGTCGGCGGCGCGGCAGCAGCCGAGGGGAGGCGAGGCGCGCGCCGCGGCTGGCGGCGGACGGACGGGACTCGCGTGCCGCGTCGGCGGTAGGGACGGCGCGGCGCGGCGTGGGCTCCGTTCGGATTGACCGGTGCGGCGGGGACGGGGACGGGGACGGGGACGGGGACGGGGACGGGGACGGGGACGGGGACGGAAACGGCGACGGCGACGGCGACGGCGACGGCGACGGAGACGGAGACGGAGACGGAGACGGAGACGGAGACGGAGACGGAGACGGAGACGGGGACGGGGACGGGGGCGGGGACGGAAACGGAGACGGAGACGGAGACGGAGACGGAGACGGCGACGTCGACGAGGACGGGGACGGGGCGGGGACGGGGACGGGGACGGGGACGGGGACGGGGACGGGGACGGGGACGGGGACGGGGACGGGGACGGGGACGGGGGCGGGGACGGGGACGGGGACGGGGACGGGGACGGGGCGGGGACGGGGACGAGACTCCGCTCCGAGTTTGCGCCATGCACGGGGCTGGACGGGTTTTATGTGTTGTAATTGATGGCTGGGCCGTTTTGATGCAGTCATGTCTCAATAACATCATGTCACGCAGAGCGAACGGAACGGCAAAACTTCGCGCGACATCACAGCGCTGAACTTGCAGATGAAAGCATTCCGCATCCCTGCTGAACAAGTACGAGCAATTAATTTGCTTCCAGGTGGTCGCCATTTCGTTCCTACTGTTCTTAATGACGGATTAACATGCGGGGCCGCAGGAGGATGCGGTACCTCCATGTCCATGGTTTTTCCTTAAAGAAACCTCGTCAAGGGCATTTGTGGTAGCTTCACGCGGGGTACCATGTGTCAATGGAGGGGCAGCGGTGCCGGTGTCGGACGCCCGTCGCGGCCTTGCCTGTCGGCGCTCCCGGCCGGGCAGGGCTGTGGTGGGATACCGACGGCTGCGGCCAGTGATGGCTGCTGTCACCAGATCGCACGCTCCCCGTCGAGAACAGCTGATACGACCGGCAGCGTCTGCGCCGACCAGTGCTGCACGTGCTGGTGCTGGTACCAGCGCTGAGGTCTTGGTGGGCCTGGATGGCGTTTGGTGCACCAGGCGGCAGCACGCGTCCACGGGCCAGCGCAATCAGCCTCGTGCACGTCTGTAAATAGAAAGATTGGCGGGCTGGGGCCACCGTGATGGGTCAGGCTCAAACACGCCAGCTGTCATGGGCCAAGTTTAAGCGGGCTGGCTTTGATGTGTCCGATCGGGGGACCGCTGGCGCGCCACATTTGCCGACGCTGAAGGGCTTAAAAGGCCGTTAGCCTTATTGGTGACGCGGCTTGCCATATGAACGTAATTTATGTGATGGCAACCCCAGCTTGGTTCGGTACGGGCAATGAAAGGCGTTTTTTCGTGTTGTCTGAAGTCGTGGCGTCCACATGCCGAAAACAGATGGCCGGGTTGCTCTGAGAAACGCACGCCCTGGTGGATGCGCATGAAGACGCCGGGACGACTTCATTCACGCTGTCGGCACGCTTCTGGAAGCTGTCATTGATAATGTGATGTGTAGCAGGGTCTTCCGTGAGCCGGGAAGTGGCCTCTCGGAGTTTGATGGAGCAATCTTCATCCGTTTTGGTCCAATAACGCTCGAAGCAGTTGACATCGGTCGCGTTCCCCCGTGCGACACGAGGCGTATCATCAGCGGGGTATTCTACGCCAGGTTCTTATGGTGCCGGTACTCACCGGGGCCTTGACTTCAATATGAAGTGCGTCCTAAAACGGCGTCAACAGCTGACATGCGGACCACGAGACGGCACCGGCGCCGAGGTGGGCCGTTGCTGCTAGACTGTCCGCGGGCTGGTGGCGCACGTTGTGGCGGGACGGTGTGCGTTGCTGAGCAGGAGTGCTGCGCCGACCGGCGGCTGCGTATCTGTGCCGGCGACCGCTGTGTTCTGAGCGTCGCCATGTCTGGGGGCACCGCGCCCTGTGGGACGAGGGCTGGCTGACTGACAGCGCCCGCTCCTGCGCCTCCCTCAGCACCCGCCCTCCTGCCCTCTGGTGGCCACGCTCGACGGCAATGGCGACTCGGCCGAGGAGGAGTGCATCTACTACGAGTGCAAGAACCCGCCGTGCACGCGCATCGAGCGGGAGGTGCGCGAGTTCAGCATCTGCGGCCGCTGTCAGGTGAGTGGGCGCTCCTCGCGGCGGCAGCCGGCCCGCGGCCGGACGCGGGTGCCAGTGTTGATCCGTGGCGACCGCTGGCCGCGATGCAGTGCATGCGTTCATGCTCATTTGTTGCCTGGTTATTGCAGTGTTGCAGATTGCTCGTCCATTTGCGCGGAGCTTCAGACCTGTTCAGTAGCATGTCCAAATCGGTAAGCGTTTGTGACGGCTGATGGTGACCGAGCGGTGTCAGGCCACACCTGTCCTCGTGTAACCCGTGTTTGTGTCAGTGCAGCCCTGTTTGTCTGTTTTTTCTTGGTTTCCTATTGGACTTGGTCCTTCGTAACCCTACAGCTGTCTTTGTCTTGCCCGTGTGACGCGTCTTGGTCCGTAGCTCCTGCCACAGGTGTGGACGGTGGGCCGGGCCGCCATCCCACCCTCAGTCTGGGTGTCTTAACCAGTTGTATGCTGAGTCCGTGTCTGGTGTTTGAACCAGCCGTGGCTTCAGTCCGTTTCTGGTCCGCTGTCTGACCAGCCGTGACCTTAACCCGTGTCTGGTGTCTGACCGGCCGTGACCGGTCATGACTTCAGTCCGTGCTGATCTATTGTCTGACCAGCCGTGGCCTCGGTCCGTGTCTGGGTGTCTGACCGGCCGTGACCTCAGTCCATGTCTGGTCTGCTGTCTGACCAGCCGTGACCTTAATCCGTGTCTGGTGTCTGACCAGCCGTGACTTCAGTCCGTGTCTGATCTGCTGTCTGACCAGCCGTGACCTCAATCCTTGTCTGGTGTCTGAGTGGCCGTGACCTCAGTCCTTGTCTGGTGTCTGACCAGCCGTGACCCCAATTCGTGTCTGGGTGCCTGAATGGCCGTGACCTTAGTCCGCGTTTGGGTGTCTGACCGGCCGTGACCGCTCCTCAGACGGCGCGCTACTGCGGCACCATCTGCCAGCAGCGCGACTGGCCGGCCCATAAAAAGTTCTGTCGCGAACGCAAGCGCTACGTGCTGGGCGAGCGACCCCCGGAGCGCTAGGCCTGGCCAACCTACGCCGTCCGCCACTACATATCACCGTTTGTCCGCTCGCCGTGCGACCGACGCGCGGCCTGCCGCAACCTCAGATCTCACCGCCATCTAGCGGACTGACGCCGAACTAGCGCTATAGGTGGCGCGACCAGCGCCTCGCTGTCGGCAGGCCGGCCGCCCGAAAAAGACGTTAGTGCTCAATGGTGTCGTGTTAGCGCAGCTCGCGCCGTGCCCGGGGCGGGCGCCTCGGGCTGCGCCGAGCTGATACGGTTGGGCGTCCGGGGCTCCCCGGCAGGGTTGGGAGGCGGCTGCACGGTCACCGCAGAAGCCCAAAGACTGGTGGTCAGGTGTGAGGCGTGACGTCATGTCCCGTCCGTATGTGGTAATAACTCGGTGGCGCGTCCTGAAGACAGCGCGCCCGTCCCAGCTGAAGTGATCTTCACCACTGTCTGGCTCTGCAGCGCGGCAGGTAGCGAGGTCGCGTTGCTCCCGCAGGCGGCATTCCGCGAAGGGGCGACGCGAAGCGCCCCCATTCCTGGCGTCCTCTCCGACCTCGAGCATTCCACTTGCTTTGAGTGGTGCTGGGCGCGCGCCGCCCACATCTGTGGCCGGGTTCGGACCACAGCAGTGCCCATGCTGGCGTGCCCGCGTCCACGGCTTGTTACTCATCGCGTGCCTGTGATGCCGGCAGATATTCGTGAGCGGTCCGCACCAAACCAGGTGTGCGTGGCCCGCGGGCGTACGCACGGGCTGGGTGCATGTGTGCGGCTTGTGTGTGCGTATGTGCGCGTGCATTATATGAATAGGTCGCTCACGGGTGCGAGAGGGAACCATGACATTCCAGTGGTCACCGCCGACCGGGGTGCGCGGCCGCTCTTGCCACGCCCGCCGCTACCAGCCGGGGTAGGCTCTGACACAGCTCCACGTGGTGCACCAAACTATAGATCAATTGTTTCCTCGTGAATCGTCCACTGCAGAACCCCACCAACCGGGGGACCAAAAGACCGGCGGTCGGTTTTGCCTGCAGTGTTCTCACCGCGAGACACGACGCTTGCGGCCGCGTTCTTAGTGAACATGACGTCCAGGATGGCGGCATTGACCTGCGCTGCGTCGCCGACCTCCTCATTCCATGCGATAGTTGGGGCTCACTGGGACGAGGCTTACAGCAGTAATACCAGACTTGTGCTTGATTCGATTTAGGCCCAGAATCAAAGAACAATGACAAATTTTCCGTGAAGCAAGTTTGGTTGGGATTATAACGCTCATAAATAATAAGTGGGTTCGAAATGAGGAATAAGTTTATTTCCTTTTTTGGCTTGAACCAGCTGACGCGAGAATGAACCAACTTAAACCCGTAATGTGTCAAAAATGACGTCGAATATTCAAGGAACGGCGGTTTTTGAATCGGTGAACGCGTAAATGTCCACATTTCTTGGAATTAGTGGCAATTTTGCTGGATCCAATCCCAAGACGCCATACAATCCAAAGTATGAACACAATTTTCATAAAGATGGAATTATGAGGGGTGCACGGGTCATTGAGTCAAGGAAGTAGTCAAAGATGTTAGATAAATTTGTGTGGCGCTGGAAATGGTTCTTCCCATTAGTCAACAATTCATGGAGGAGCACGTGCTGTCTCAAAGGATTGGAATTTTGTATTCACACGGATGAACAGAGGTTCAGAACGTTTTGCTTAATGCGCTGACGGTGCAGATGTTTCATGGGCATTGCACAACTTTTAAAGACTTAACCATTGAATCACCAGTGTTTGATATTTTGACGCCGGTGTTCTATTTTCTTGCATTGACGTCTTCTGATTCCAGTCACATTCAGTATAATCGTGATTCATACCCCGTTTTCCCTGGTTCATAATCGGAGTCAGCTTGTCATGCCAGTTTACTCAAATCCAGTGGTTCGAATATCTAGTAAAATGTCAGTTTGATTCCAATCCTGATTCGGCTGTCAAGTATTTTAAGTCGGAAAGGATTCGATTCATATAAAATTGAATCAAGCACAAGTCCGATGATATACATTATTTCAAATAACTTTGGAGGCAGACCACCGGCATGAAACAGCAAGACAAACCAGCCTGTGTACAAATGGTGTACTCATTTTCACTAGTCCCGTGTGGGGGGTGGGATACAGCGCGTGCGCTCGTGGCCCTTCGCTGTGGGCGAGCGCCTGCGCTCGTGCCACCAGATGGCGCCAGGTATCTCGTGGTGGGCATTGTGTGGTGGTTCTCGTGTGGGGAGTGATGTACATGGACAGAACTGGAATATTCGGTCGCTTGCGTGTTTCCTTTCTACCGTTGCGCTTTCTTTTGTTTGTATGCGTGAGTGTCTGCGTACGCACTGATTCACGAGGGTGGTACGTTATCTAGTCGACTAACCAAGGATTCCAGTTTTTACTAACATTGTACATGAATCTACAATATATTTATATCAGATCGCGTGTGTTTTGGCGCTGGTCACTCCTGCTTACGGAGGGGGGAGGAGAATGTTCAGGTCGCTTACGAGTGAGTCCGTGTGGCGACGGCACGCAGGAGCCCGACGACTGCCTGGGCAACGCAGGCCGGCAGTGAAGGTCTCCGTGTGTCGGGATCAGCGCCGGGCGTGTGACCAATCAGCGCTGGGCGTGTGACCAATCAGCACCGGGCGTGTGGCCAATCGGCGCCGGGCGTGTGACCAGTCAGCGCAGGGCGTGTGACCAATCAGCGCTGGGTGTGTGGCCCCAGTCGCATGCAGAGCTCGCCGGATGTCATGACCTAGCTGCTCACCGCCTCTGGGAGGTGTCCTGCGCAGGGAACAGCTGTGCTGAGGACTCCGCCGCCTATACCGTGCCCCTGTGAGCCTCGCGGGGGCGGCCTGAGATACTCCAGCCGGCCATCAAACGACACGAGACATTTTCAAACGACACGAGTACATTTTCCACCTCGAAATTGTATTTCCAGCACGCTGTACTCTTTAGGTGTCAGCTTGGATGCAGACGCGGGCTTTCCCTTAGCCGCCATAGCGAAATAAAAAAATGAGGCCCTCGTGAATATATATATATATATATATATATATATATATATATATATATATATATATACATGTAAACATATGCATGGATATGTCTTGCCCGTTTTTAAATGACATGAAGATGGGTTAATTTGGACAGGCGTAACCTAACTTTCTTACATCAGTTTATCTCCCAGCATCCAGTTGGTGCCCTCCGTGGCTGTTCTCATACCCGTTCTATTTTACTGCAATGGTTTTCTGCAGTCAAAAGAGCGGGGCAGGAATGACGAAAATAAGAAAATGCAAATTCTGCGGAGTTGCTCATATTTTTCGTCAGGTTTCACCTACAGCGCAAACAAACAATAACAAGCTGCGTTGATACGTGCGTGTTGATCGATCTGCATGTAGTCAGGAAATTCAGGCTGCGAATAGAAGCTTTCTTTTGCTGGTACGCAAGCCTTGGCTCGTGCTCTTACACTAATGGAGTGAAACGTAAGGAAGCAAACAGTTTTGCATGCTCTCGCGTACCAGCAGCGCCCTCTATACTCGTGTGGGAAAAGGCTGCGCTGCCATCGCGTTAACGAGCAGCCCGACGCGGCTGGAAGGAGCGAGCCGCTGGCGAGCAGCCCGGCGGCGTCCGTGGTGTATTGGAGCGCTTCCCCTCGCGGGTCTGCGGTGTCTTGTAGCGCTCCCCCTCGCTGGTCCGCGGTGTCTTGTAGTGCTTCTCCTCGCGGGTCTGCGGTGCCTTGCAGAGCTTCCCCTCGCGGGTCCGCGGTATCTCGTAACGCTTCCCCTCGCTGGTCCGCGGTGTCTTGTAGTGCTTCCCCTCGCGGGTCTGCGGTGCCTTGCAGAGCTTGCCCTCGCTGGTCCGCGGTATCTCGTAACGCTTCCCCTCGCGGGTCTACTGTGTCTTTTAGCGCTTCTTCTCGCGGCAGCCCCTCGGTCCGTGGTAGAAGCTCGGCGAAGTGCCCGCCATACCCTCTCTTCTGGTCATCCGAGGTCGCCTGTGAAGGGGAAGGTAGGTAAATTTCTGCGACCAAAACAAGCAGCCTATATTGTAACCTGTTCACGCGGCAGTGCGTGTCGCGCCTGACATGTGTGACCACTTCTGTACCCATCTGCTCACGCGGCAGTGCGTGTCATGCCTGACGTGTGACCAGCTCTGTACCCATCTGCTCACGCGGCAGTGCGTGTCATGCCTGATATGTGTGGCCAGTTCTGTGCTCATCTGTTGACGCGGCAGTGCGTGTCACGCCTGATATGTGTGACCACTTCTGTACCCATCTGCTCACGCGGCAGTGCGTGTCACGCCCGATATGTGTGACCAGTTCTGTACCCATCTGCTCACGCGGCAGTGCGTGTCACGCCCGATATGTGTGACCAGTTCTGTACCCATCTGCTCACGCGGCAGTGCGTGTCACGTCTGATATGTGTGACCAGTTCTGTACCCATCTGTTGACGCGGCAGTGCGTGTCACGCCCGATATGTGTGACCAGTTCTGTACCCACTGGCGTAGCGCACCACCGATATCCATCCACATTAATGCAGCTATTGTCAGGAGCCTGGAAAAGCAACTTGGAAGGGCACTGAAGGTAAAGCATAGGGCCGGCACTGTGCACCGTTCAACACTTGTCGGCCAGACATGATGCTATGAACAGGCCTCCCGGGTCAGCAAAGAGCCTTCTGGACGCGAAATTGGGCCTCCTGAATACAGCATTGGGACTCCTGATGTTGAACATTAGCTACCTTATTCTAAGGACACAAAAACAGGTCTCCTTGAGGTAGCAAAGTGCCCTATGAGCTCTATTTATTACTCTCTAGCTCAGTCATGAGGGCCTCCTCGATCTGAACTGGAGTACTTTTCGTGGAGCTACATTGACTATCGTGAGGGAAGAACGGGGCTCCCCCATTTTTTGAGGGGAGGCCAAAAACATAGTCTTGCTCTCTGCCGGCACGCAGGAGGGGCAGCTGTCATTTCTGTCCAACTGACCCTCGACCCTCCTCCTCACCCACTCACCCATGTCGTGCTGTGTCGTCGCTGCACACCGCCAGAATCTGGCGGTGTGCTCATTGATCTCCACAACACATCCATACACTGACACCTTCATACACGCTGCTCCGAGGGAACGTCCGTGCCATATGCCGATGGCGTTGAATGTTCTGTTTTGAGTTCTGGAGTCCAGTATAGCAGTTTGGAAGATTCGGAGGGCAAAACAACAGAGAGAAAGAGAAAGAGAGAGAGAGAGAGAGAGAGAGAGAGAGAGAGAGAGAGAGAGAGAGCGAGAGAGAAGCGAGAGAAGAGAGATAGCGAGAGAGAGAGAGGATACGAGAATATAATAGATGAGAGGGAGACGATAGCTAATGTCAAGAGCGAGTAAGAGATAGAGAGAGATACTAGCTAGCTCTATCGCGGCTCTCTACTATTTCTCTTCCGCCATTCGTATCGTCCTCTTCTTTTTTCTGCTAAGCGCGCTCGCGATCTCTGTGAGCTCTCTCGTCTCTCTCGCTTCTCTATCTCTCTGCTTTTCGATCTCCTGGCCTGGTGAAAGCCATCTACCTACAAAAGCTATGAAATATAGTAGCACTTCAAATCAAGCGCAGACCACTGCCGTGAAGCTGTTGCTGTTGGTTGAAAAAAAGTGAAGTTGCAAAGTTAAAAGCATCCTTTGTATGGTGCTTGCAACTACCGTGAAGCATTCTAGGAAAAGGAACATTGGTGTCGAGGGTGCTGCCGCCGCGGCCCGGGGTCGCTTTATGCAGGCCGCTCCTTGGTCCACTTCCTCCGGCGCGCTGCACCGGTGGGCGAGGTAACCACGAATGACAGACCACTTCCGGAGCCGGCTGATGTCGTGTCCACTAAACCATCACCGAACGGCGCTCTTTCCACAGGTGACGCCGTGTGCGCCTCCGGACGAGAGGCCGCGCCCGGCCGCCCCGGCCCAACAGCGGCGTCCGCCCGCTCCGGCCCCGGCGGCGGCGCCCGCCCGGCCCGGCAGCGGCGGCTCCCGCCCCGGCCCGGCGGCGTCCGCCCGCCCCGGCCCGGCAGCGGCGCCCGCCCCGGCCCGGCAGCGGCGCCCGCCCCGGCCCGGCGGCGGCGCCCGCCCCGGTCCGGCGGCGGCGGCGCCCGCCCCGGCCCGGCGGCAGCGCCCGCCCGCCCGTCACCGGCTCCCTCGCCTGACCTGCACTGTCGCCGCGGCGCTGTGTGTCACAATCCTCGTCTGTTGGCGGAGCGGGCCAACGGCCGGTCCGGTCCGGGACACGCCCACTAAATGCTTTGAAGCGCCGGCCGCCGCTTTCGTCGCCGTCATGCCGCCGGCCGCCTCCGCGGAACGGACCACGTTGGCGTGATCGCCACATGGGCATGGCCTTAAATAACCCAGCACTCTGGCCAAATTGGAACCAACAAAATCGAAGCCTTTTCCCATCGACGCACGTGTTTGACAAATATGCCCCTCTCCTCAAAACCTGAACGAAAACGTGGGCCAACGCCGCTTGGGAGATCTGCCTAAGCTGAGTGGCCGCAGCCCTCGGGCCTGAGTTCCCGAAGCCGCCATGTAGCGTCACGTGATCAATCGGTGCAGTTCCGGGTATAACCACCGGTCGCTGTCGGCAGGATGGCGAGGCGGCCAGTCGTGACTCGACCGGCGGGCCGGCGGCGGGAACGAGGCGCGACCAGCGGGCCGGCGGCGGGGACGAGGCGCGACCAGCGGGCCGGCGGCGGGGACGAAGCTCCACCCTGGGCCAGCGGCGGGGACGAAGCTCCACCCTGGGCCGGCGGCGGGGGCAAGGCTCCACCCTGGGCCAGCGGCGAGGACGAGGCTCCACCCTGGGCCGGCGGCAGGGACGAGGCTCCGCCCTGGGCCAGCGGCGGGGACGGCATGGCGCTGTTATGACGCAGCCGTTCAACGTCGTCCGGTGGTGTTCGGCAAAGGGGATCAGCTGTGCTGAGGAGGACAGGGCTCCGCCTCTGTTGCCGTAGCCTTTATGAGCCTCGCGGGGTGGCCTCAGGCAAGGCAGCTGGCCATCAAACAACGCTGAGTGAGCACACCTACGATCTCAAACTTGTATTTCCTCCAGCTTAACGTGCTTCTCTTCAGTTACCAGCCGGTGGGTAGGGACGGGTTCCGCCTCCCCCCTCGCATCCCCCCTGCGAAAACATTTCCTTCGGGCAACCAACTGCCTCTTAGGCTGATTTCCTAGTCCTGTGACAAAACCTAAGTTTGATTTGACATCATCTGAATATGGGCTACCTAAAATAGTGACAACCCAGCTTTCCTATTTCCACTTGGCTCTCTGTGTCCATTTAAGTACCCTCCCTTCGCCAGTGGCTTTTGTGTCCATTTGTTCTGACTGAAATAGTTTCCTATAGTCATTCAAGACGGTCATGAGATTGGTTTAAGTGGAAAGGAGTTTTGAGACACTGATTTATATTTTCACAAGCCCATATATACAGCATAAACAAATAACAAGCTGCTCTGAGATGCGCACGTTAATAGATCTGCATCGAAACGGACCACTCAAGGAACGACTAGAGGCTCTCTTTCGTTGGTTTCTTTCACATTAATGGAGTGAAGCGTGAAATAGCTGAGGGCTCCATGCAAACGACGCCGTGAAAAGTCGTCCGCTAGGAGCGTCGACCGACTGGCTCGCACACGCAACGTGCAGCCCATGGAGCGTTGGGAGGCGTCGGGTATCGGCAGCGCCATCTATATTGCAGTCGGCCGAAGTGGTTGAAAAGGTCATCGCGTTCACGAATAGCTTGGTGCCGGAGGCTGGTAAGACGGCGGCGAGTAGGCGGGCTGCGGCGCCTTGTAGCCCTTCTCCTCCTTGCCGTAGCCCTTCGGTCCGTGGTTGTACTCGTAGTAGTGTTCGCCGTAGCCTCCCTTCTGGTCACCCCACTTAACCTGCGGACGGATCGCTAGGTGAATTACTGCAATCCACAATAAGCAGTCTGCAATCTAGTCGGTTCACGCGGTAGCGCGCGTCACGCCTAGCATGTTTGGTCAGTACCGTACCTGCTCATGTAGCACACCTGCCATGTTCATCAATATCCATATATCTATTGCCGTAAGTTTAGTGTCATTACAGCTGGGGAGGAAAACTGCAATAGTGCTGGCAACGACTGGCGCAGTAACGGCTCACCACCTGGTGCTTATCTGCCCGTCACCAAGCCAAACTCATCCGAACGCCAAGCGCCTTGCTAGCCTCTCCAATACCCAACGTCAAATACTTGCTCAGTACGCACCTAAAAGGCTTGGATATTTCAATGGTCAAGCCATGGGACACGCAGACAGGCATCACCACGTGAAACTCTGCGACATATCCATACACTAACGCATTCAGGTGCTTAGTTTGGGGCGAAAGCCTGTTATGAATGAATGCCAGTGTCAGAAGCGTTGGATCCTGCGTTGTACTTGAACCCGTTGATGGACTCGTTGGATCGAGTCTGTAAGTGGAATGCACTGCGTTGGAGAGTCGTTGGCAGCAGAGTAAAACATTCACATTTTGAGGACTACTTAAAGCTACCAAATGCCACCAACTGCACTACGCCAATACCTATGGAATGTAGCAGCGCACCGAATGAGACGCGGGTCAAAGCTGGGCAGGAGTCAGAAGAAACGTATAGAGTTAATACCATTTTCAGCAGCTCTGATAAAAACATGCAATTCAGTATAGAGCGCTTTTCTGGCTGCATGCCAAATACAAAATTGAGCAAGTAAACACTTTTTTTCTGAGAGCGTGCGTTTATGTAGTACTGTTTCAATGCCTGACTGTGGAGGGTGGCTGGTCCAGTCGGGTTTCCACAGCGCGTACAGTCGGCCGTCCGCCGAGCTCCCCCCAGCACGTACAGTCGGCCGTCCGCCGAGCTCCCCCCAGCACGTACAGTCGGCCGTCAGCCGAGCTCCCCCCCCCCCCCCCCCCAGCACGTACAGTCGGCCGTCCGCCGAGCTCCCTCCAGCACGTACAGTCGGCCGTCAGCCGAGCTCCCCCTGGCACGTACAGTCGGCCGTCCGCCGAGCTCCCCCCAGCACGTACAGTCGGCCGTCAGCCGAGCTCCCCCCGGCACGTACAGTCGGCCGTCCGCCGAGCTGCCCAGCACGTACCCGGGTACGGAAGCGGTGGTCCTTGGCCTGCTCGTAGCGGCTGATGTAGTGGTGCGGGTTGCCACGATTCCAGCCGAACTCGTACTCCTTGTGACCGGGCACGTTGACGTACTGGAAGTAGCCGTCCGGCTGTTTGTCGTAGCCTCCGCTGCCGCCCTGCGCTGCCGCCGCGGCCACCAGGGCCAGAAGGCACAAGGCCACCAGCTGGGGACAGGGTCAGACGGGACCGGTCAGCGGCGGGCACGACACGGGAACGCTGCCGTCTGCTGCCGACGGGACCGGTCAGCGGCGGGCACGACACAGCCTGGCTGCGGGACGACACGGGAACGCTGCCGTCTGCTGCCGACGGGACCGGTCAGCGGCGGGCACGACACAGCCTGGCTGCGGGACGACACGGGAACGCTGCCGACGGGACCGGTCAGCGGCGGGCACGACACGGCCTGGCTGCGGGACGACACGGGAACGCTGCCGACGGGACCGGTCAGCGGCGGGCACGACACAGCCTGGCTGCGGGACGACACGGGAACGCTGCCGTCTGCTGCCGACGGGACCGGTCAGCGGCGGGCACGACACGGCCTGGCTGCGGGACGACACGAGAACGCTGCCGTCTGCTACCGTCGGAATGGTGGACAGGTGCTCGGGAGGCGGCTGGCCGAGATGGGAACTGTCAGAACTGTTTCAATGTGGAATTACGGGCGATGGTCGGGATAGATTTGTACGCGACATCATGCACCACTCTTAATAAAGGGTATGGGTATTGCCAGCTATTCATATTATTTCGACTCTCGAAAAGTTTCGTAGAATATCAATGCATACCAGTGATAGCATAAGAAAAGCTTAAGGGCATACTCCTCGGGGCGGACATTGTCACACCGTTTCCACTCTGCTGAGATTGTCATCGCAGTAGTATGTGACAAACTTGCATGTAATGTTCCAAACATAAAATCAGCCGAGTCCGCACATTATTCATTTCAGCTCACAAACCACATCGCTTCATTTCCGGCTCTGAATAGTTAACGTTTGCAATGTCAGAGCTAGAAAATACATGCGAAGCTGCCTGATTGAACACTTTCGCTGCCGATATACCACCTCCAGGCGGTCCGGCTATGCGCCATGGTGAGCGATAGTGAGCTATCTCACCGGACCAGATGACACCACAGTCGCCACTCGGCCACCACCTACGTCTCACAAGCACGCGCCTCGGCGTCGGAGGCCGGCCGAGCCGCACTTACACTGCTGTAGTGGACCATCGCGTCGAGTGTGCTGCCGCCGCGGCCCGGGGCCGCTTTATACGAGCCGCTTCTCGAGCCGTTTTCTCCGGCGCGCTGTCCCGGTGGGCGGGGCTGCGGCCGGCGCCGGCCGAGCACCGCCCGAGTCAAGGGCCGCGCTCGCAGCCGACGAAAACAACGTCGAATGGCGCTCGTGTCACGGGTCGTGCCCTGAGTGCCCCTGATGGGAGTTTCTCCCGGGATAGACCGCGCGCAGTCGGTAACATTGAACGCAAGGCGTGGGGCTCAGGCGAGCCGGTGGCGTCGAAATGCGTTGGCAGTCATGCTCGTTGAACCGGGCAGACTGAATTCAATGAAACTCCCGACTTCTCTTGGGGCGCTGCGCACCGGAGTCAGACACGCGGTGTTGTGAAATAAGAGCGGGTTTTCTTAACGTGATATGCTGTGCCATATGTGTGTTGCGACGAGATTCTAGCATTTACCTATGTACAGCACCAACACCGTCTTGCCGAGCAGGTAGGTGTCTGATTCCAAGCGCTTGAGTGAGACGACTCCTTGTGTCTAGAGGTGAGGCCTAGTCCCGTGTCAACCCTCGCTATGTACACCACCAGCACCGCATGCCGAGCAGGTAGGTGTCTGATTCCAAGCGCTCGAGTGAGACGACTCCTTGTGCCCAGAGGTGAGGCCTAGTCCCGTGTCTACCCTCGCCACGTGACCCGAGTCCAGGCCCGAGGTCCGAGGTCATTTGCATGGCTTCCGAATCTGGTGATTCCGTAGCCATGCAAATGCTACGACACGACAAAGCTTTGGGGTGATTCACGAAACCTGCATGAATCACCAAGGCTTTGTCGTGTTTCCAGTTTTAAGAATCTTTTATACCAGTGGGTAGTGCATTGGAAGTGTTATAGAATACATAATCCAAAAGTAGTGTTATAAGAATATATAATCCAAGAGTTCAATTCCATGATACCTCGATACTGAGTTCTAGTCTCTTTCACAGCTGTCTCAGATCGGTCAGGCCGTTTCCGAATCATTCGTAACATGAATAAACCACAACAGTCTGAGCCCCAAAAGGTCACGTGCCTATGTCCGAGTCTAAGTCTAGTCGGACCGAGGTCCACGTCTGGTGCTGGGTGATATGTCACTGTTACCACGCCTGTCCTTATTGTTCCATGTTTCTGTGCTTGTCCTTTTTCTGGTCCTGTGCGGGCTACCGTGACCCACACTGAGACGTGTGTCATTGGAGCTTTACGACGCACTCAGCTGTTGAGACTATGGCGACACCTGCTTCTCATCCTGACGAGAACGGCGGGCACCGCGTGGAATCGAGCCCCGTACCTCTGACTTTGCAGACGCACCGTGGTTAACGCAGATGCTTCTATCACCACGAAACGCACCCTCTCGATATTGGGACAGTCGTTCATGTGACCCTTCAGTACATCTCCTTCAGGTTTATGGGAGTCTAGCGATCACCTCATCCTTTCAAGGTATGCCCCATCTATGTTAATGCTCGTTGACAAAAACCCGTGTCAACCTGACACCCAGGTCTCAGACAGTCTCCGAAAGCCTTCACTCTTGGTTGATTTAATAATGACGGTCAAACTCAGCATACATTTCAGCAGATACACAAGCCTGCCAATGACTCGCGTCCGTTGTGCGTTTCCACCAAGAAATGGCATGCTTAAAATTAAGGAAGACTGTGTATCATCATCGCGAAAATGGAGTTGTCCAATTTGTGCCTTGGCACTTAGCGCGCCGTAGGTTTTTGTTCGCAAATGATCTTTATGATATAAGTTGACATTCGGTAACAGTAAGCACAGTGTCATTTTGGCTGTGTCGCGCCATTTCTATGTCCAAAGTTGGTCGTGTTGACCGAGAGCAAAAAAGCAAAGCTCAGAAATTTTGCACATAGTTGTGTTTCAGCAATGCGTTTTTTCACACAGTTTAAATGATGCTCTTTTACTAGTGCTAAGAGCGGGTTTCTTGTTATTTGCTCATGCACATGTAACATTTAGAAAACAACAGCCACTTTGTACCATTACTTCCCTGACACCTCGTAATGGCACGACAATTTGCTTCGGTCTCTTCTCTCGCGTTTGAACACGAATACAAGCAATGCATGATTTACCTGCCCAATGCACTACCCACTGGTTTGGGCAACACCGGAATCATATCCATCCCACTAGCGTTCAGGCACTTCATAGTTGAGATGACGCGACCCCGCCCATTATTGCTCGATGCATGACAGTTTTCACCACCAGTTTAATGAAACTTCCTCCGGTTTTGTTACAGACGCTGTGCATGGGTTATCTCCGGACTTGTCAGAAAATACATTTGGTTTCTGATAGAAGCTGGCAGTACCAAACTTAAATGAGGGAATACCGACCCAAGTTTAACACCGTAGTTGGCAGCGAGTATGTCAGGGTGAACGACCGAAACCGCTCGGTGCAGGTGCCGTGTAGCAGGCTGCTTCATTTTTGGGAAGTAAAAGGGGGCATGCTACAGTGGCCTCATGCCTCGCGTTTTTCACTGCTGCTCGTCACTTCAGACGGACAGTTGTGCTCGCCGCGAACGCCTTCCGATTGTCGTGGTTCTCACCCTTTAGTTGGGAGGACAGGCCAAGCCACTGATCGCAGCTCTTAGCAACGCCGTATCTCTCTTCCGTTGCCCTAACCACTCTCTCCCTCTCTCTCTAGCTTCTCTAACTTCCCTCCCATCCATTCTGCTATTGTGAGGTAAAGCTGAACGGTGCACGACTCGGCTTCCACTGTGCTCTCCTATTTCTCTTTTTACCCGGCTGAGCAGGTCGGCCCAGCTGCGCCGCCACCTCCACTGGGGGTGTTTTCACTGTTGATTGGGTGCGATCCCCGGACTTTCACCCTGTTATTGCAGCACGCTGGATTAGAAGCTCGTCGCCCGCGGCTATTGGAAATCACCTGAGCCGCGCCCGGAGAAGTCGTCGGCGATGCTCCATTAGGTCGCATTGTGTGGCAGCAGCGCACACGTGCTCCGTCGCCTCGGCTTTGCTACTACAAAAAAGTCGGGGATTCCCTTGCCTGATGAGCACCAATGGTAATGCTGCAAATTGTAATTACTACACCAATCGCTATAATCCCGTTAGGTACCAAACCATTTGTTGTCATTTGGTAGGCCTATCTGACCTTCGCTGGCGCGCGTTGGGTGGCGCGAAGCATGCTAAACGCGCCGGGACAAAGTCTCATCCGTCACCCTGCTTGTCATATCGGCATCAACATCAGTCTCCATGCCTGCACCTCGGAGGGGGATGTGACCGTGCCCGAGCCGACACCGAGCTCCGACATTGTGTTGGCCGGTGCTCGTTGGGTCTCAGTCGTAGTCCGCGCTTGGTGTCCGTGCAATCTTTCAGTGGAGTCGGTACCCGATACCAGTCGGATCCCGGCGTCAGTGAGCGGCATCAGCCGGCATCTAGCTTCAGAAACGGTATTAGTTCATACTTAATGTTCGTATTCGAGATCAGTCGATATCAGGTGTCAAAAACGTGTTCGTTATCAGCTGAACACATGTCAGTTATACGCATCAGTCTGAGCCCAGTGTCAGTACGCGGCACCAGTCAGAGTACAGTTTCAGCACCCGGTATCAGTCCGAGCCCAGTGTCAGTACCTGGCATCAGTCAGAGCACAGTTTCAGTAACCGGCATCAGTCTGAGCACAGTGTCAGTACCCGGCATCAGTCTGAGCACAGTGTCAGTACCCGGTATCAGTTGTAGCCCCGGCATCAATAGCCGGAGCCAGTAGCCGGCGTCAGTCGGAGCCCCGGCATCAGCAGCCGGTGTCGGTAGCCGACGTCAGCGTCAGCTTCCGGTCAGCCGGACGGTACAGCGGCTGGGACGCTGCCGCGCCGGCGTCCGTCGCCGCCCGGCCGATCATCCGTGACGACTGACGCGGGGAGGGCGGCCAGAGTGGCGCACCGCTCCACCAGCCGACCCTTTCTAAAGTGAAATCGCTCCAGCGCGTCGCGATAGGTCACAGCCACCCCTCCGGCGCTGAGGAGGCCGGGACGGCGAACACCAGCTGGAGAAGCCCTGCACACGCCGCCTGCTGGTGCTGCCTGCGAAGCAGCGTCTCGAGACCTGACAGTACTCGGCTGTCCACGTTCATGGCTCTCGCGACGCTGCTGGTCGTTTGGTACTTGAGGTGGCATTTGTAATTGTGAGCTACAGCTAGGGGAGTCTTCAGGTATGCTTATTACGCGATATGCTGTATGTGATTACCGACAGTCAGTGGAGAAGCTAACTAACGTTATATGTCCATCTATCGCCACTCAAAAGTAGGTGTGGACATGGAGGTTCTCACATATCATTATATCCGGAATGATAACCCGACCCTGATTACACCCTGAAAGCCATTTCGGTCACGATTCACGCGGTGGCAGTCGCACGCCGCGTTTTCCTCGCGACTATCCATCAGGCGGGCGTTTCCCGGCCGTTTGGCTGACTCCTGCGCCGCTCCAGCGCGCGCTCCGACGCGAGAGGCGCGCGCCGGCTGGATCGGCCGCCGTTCCGGCCGGACGCGTGCGCTTTCGCCGAGCTGGTGGCTGGCGCCGGGGCGGGAGCGGGCCCCGACGACCGGCCGGCCCGGTGGCCTGGATTCGGGGCTGGGACACAGCCGCCTCGCGCGCGCTGGGTGGTCAGATGGCAGCGTCCGAGCCGGGGCGAGCCGTACCGCTGACAGGTCGGCACGGCCTGGCGCAGGTCACGAACACGTCGGGACGCTCGGAAGTCAGTAACGATGCCGATCACGCTAACTCGCGATTCACATTGCTAACATCGCTCATGTGCCAACGACCACCAGCCGTTGCGCGGATAGGTGCAGCAAACATTTGTATTTAATATCATAGTCTGGAAATCAGAGCCGTCTAAATACGTCAGAAGAGGCCCATCGAGCCGCGTGCTTCATCACATTGCTGCCTACGTCTTATTCGCAAGACAACAGAACACCTTATCACATTTATACCATATAAGTTGAGCGTTGAATTCGTAGCAGTGCATGCATGAACATTGATCTTATCAATGTCTGTCCCCAACAATGTGCGGGCCTTGTACATGGTTGGCAGTGTCAAACGCGCGAACGCAACACATATCCGTTTATTATCCAAGTCACGTATCACAAATGCCATCGACAGCTTCCGCCGGCAAGTCGTAGGCAACACATACGCGGTTAAAACTCGGCAGACCAGGCGCGTGGCGCATACACCGTCTAGTGAGCCAGGCGATATGGTGTTCCCGAAGCACAACGATCAGGCCCCCGTTCCACCTCTCACCGCGACCACACGTCACATACTGAACCCACTTAAAAAGGGTCACATGTGGAATGAAAAGGCATCACGGACAACACGGGTTCCCTCCATGCTCACCTAAACGGGTGACAAACATGGCTGTGCACCCCGCGCAACACGTGGACAGGAAGTCACAGCGGGCGCCGTCGCAGACGTACCGTTACAGACGCTGTCGCAGACGCAGCCGCAGACGCATCGCCAACTCTGACACGCCACCAAGTACAGAAGCATACCTCCAGACCCTGCTGTACTTACAAGCATGGCTGGGCGGCTGACTGAATGCCACCCGCCCGATCTCATTCAGCACAGCACCCACCACCTGGCGCTGGCATGGCTGGGCGGCTGACTGAATGTCACCCGCCCGATCTCATTCAGCACAGCACCCACCACCTGGCGCTGGCATGGCTGGGCGGCTGACTGAATGTCACCCGCCCGCTCTCATTCAGCACAGCACCCACCACCTGGCGCTGGCATTGTCATGAGGCTCCCTCGGGGTCAATGACATTTCATCGGGGTTTCAGTCCTTTTTAAGGGGTTTTGGTCCTTTAAAGGGGGGTTCGGGTCAATACAAGTACGTCGATATGTGTAGCGTCACGACAGGCGACCTGGCTGGAAATGTGGCGTCATCTCCTCCTCATCCCCTCCCCAAGAGGAAATGGAAAAAAAAACACCCTCCGATCATTTTGAGTCACGATGAAGAATGCATGTTAACGTGTAGGGGCAACAAGGTCGCGAAATGCAGGGGCATCGCCCGGCACATTTCACAAACAGCTGCACAAGACAGAAGATCCCAATATTGCACAAGAGAAAAATTATCTTCACTTAACCGCATCAATGGAACTTACGAGGCAACAATACAGCCTAAAATATGCAGCCACGCCATCGACCGGCTCAGTCTTAACATTTGTACACCGGTACAACTGAAGCCACCCTACCTTTCCGACAGCTCTAGGCACGCCAGGAAGAACTCCGTTACAATTCAAACTTATCTGATGAAAAACCTATTACTGGAAGCTGGCAGCACGGCCGGCATTTTCCGCCCGTCCGCCCCTGCGTTCACAGATACGTCTGCGTGCCCGCTGGAACGAGACCCGGTCACTGTCCGGCGCCTCCCAGCGTGTCAGCCCCCCGGGGCGATCAGCCGGTGCGAGCGCCCTCACCACCGGCGCCAGTCCCCCGCTGGCTGCGCCCGCTGACGAGCCCGACACTGCCCCGCGCCCCTGGCGCCTCGCGCCGGCCCGGGCGCGGCGGCGGCGCCGCTCACACGCGCCGCTGGCCCGGGCAGCTGAGGTCGAGCGCGCGCACGGCCGGCCGGTCCATCTCTAGCACCTGGCCGTACAGGTCGCGGATGGCCTCGGCCAGGCCGTCGGCCATCTGGTTGGCCGTGTACGGCATGCCCAGCGGCGGCACGTGCACGAACACGGCGCGGCCCGGGTCCTGGCTCAGCGACGTGAAGTAGATGAAGTCGCACAGGTAGTGGCCGGCGTCGTCGGAGACGCTGGCGTCGATGGCGGAGCGGCTGTTGCCGATGGCTTTGCAGGTGCGCGCCAGATCGAGCCGCGTGCAGAGCGTCGACGGCCGGCCGGGCACGCAGCAGTGCTCCGGCGGCGTCCTCTGGTGCACGTCGTCGCGCTGGTACGGCCCGTTGTGCGACACGCGCTCCAGCTGGAGCGTCATCGTATGCGCCGACACGCCCACGTGCACCACCAGGCGCGGCCGCAGCTCGCGCCACCGCTTCGGGATCTCACGCATCACGTACTCGTAGGTGACGGGCACCTGGCGGCGGCGGACGGCGCGCGCAGTTATTACCAGATGCTGACCAGCACCGCTGGGGAGGCCAGGGGTGATAGAACAACAATTATATCTACAGCATCCAGCGCACACTTGACAATGAACGTAGGACATTATGGACAAACCAATAGAACATCCAAACCAAGTATCATGTTTGCAAACTGAACTTGGAGCCCTGAATTACAGTTTCTCCTACACCGAGGTGCCGAACTCGATCGTTTTCTCTCAGAGACAGAAATCAACGTGCGCAGCATTGAAATTATACACTTGTTTGATATTAATAAACCCAGTGGACGTTCCCGTGATCGCGCAGCACACGAGTTTCACATGCGCAGCACACGCGCTTCCTTCGGCAAAGTTATCCCGCGGCAAGGACTGAAAAGTCACGAATCAAAGTCTTGGCCACAATCACAACAGTGGCCAACCTGCTAGCCACCACAACCGAGTCCCCTTCACACCGCTGACCCGCAGCCTCCATCGTGCGACAGACTATTCCACGCTAGACACAGCCACTTACACATCCCAAGCCACACGCAAACCCGAACAGACAGCGTTTCCGTTGCCAAGTGCGGCGGCGCCTCCGCAGACGGCACGTACCTCCTCGATGACGAGCTGGACGCCGAGCTCCTCGGCCACGCCCACCTCGTGCAGTCGGCAGACCGCCTCCCAGCTGGCATTGACCACGTGCGTGCCGAATGGGCCGAACCCGGTGACAAAGATGACGTCGTTGGGGCCGTCGTCGGGCTGCATCAGCAGGTGCAGCTCGCGCGGGATGGCGCCGGTGGCGGCCGCCTTAGGGGGCAGCGCCGCCGGCTGGGCCGACGGCGAGCTGGGCGACTGCTTCGGGGCCGGGGGCGAGGCGTCAGCCGGCGGCGTCGTCTCGCCGGCCGTCGGCGACGAGCCGTTCGCCGGCGGCGGGGAGCTGTCCTCGCTTCTCGCCGGCTCCGGCGTCACTCGGGGCCCAGTAGACAGGTCCATCACAGGCTGAAACATAAATGTTTGTGTGTGTGTAAGATTTGGTGTCATCATGACAGGAATGTGTGCAACATTTCCATGACAGCTACATCATGCAAAATTTGGACACTTCAAACTCCTGACAAATGAAAACTATGGGGGCATGGCAAACAAACATTGGTGAATCCAAAACTCTGTGTTCAAGAGCTGAGTCTGGCCATTCATGCTCTCAATAGGGCAATATCTCCACCCAGTGATGGTACAATATGGCATGCAAAGGATGTGAGCATGAAAACCACAAGATGCTATCTTTTTGTTTCCCTTTTTTGGTTAAACATTTTGGGGGCACAAACCTTTGCAAAAATTAGAAATGCACTACAGGGAGATCCTATTGCAGGGATCCCAGATATTGAACCTGCCCCAAAATGCTTGTGATGGTGATTGAAATGGCTGTGACATGGCCTTTTGGGTGATGGCCCAATGAGTATGACCTTGTGGTATTTCCATTATGGTGTCAATCTTGTCCATGCCACACAGGCTGAACACAGCTCACAAGCAGCTCTGCATCTGTTTTGATTTCAGCAGGATGAATCCCAGCCCAGACCCAAGTCACATGGGTTTGATCCTTAGAATGACTCAAAGCAATGCAGTGGAGCATTAACTCTACTGACTATCCTCAGAACCAATTACAATGGTGTGTATTACAGTAGCCATATTTGTGACACTGCTGTAAGGGTTGGTTATATAAAAGCTTATACAAGGCAATGACTTGTAAATATAAATATATAAATATAAATATATTGTTTATTTGGGTGGTATAAAAGCTCTCAACTGATCAGAACTAAGTTCAAAATTAGATCCATGCAAATTGGGTAGCTTCCATGGTTGACTCAAACTTTACCTGGACCCTCCCTCAAGCTTAGTTTAAGTTAAAATTTGTAACTTAAAAACAGGAGCCTTGGTGTTTAGAATTGATAACTTGCTTTGTAAAAACTTCCAGGCCACTATAAGAATAATGCAAACTATTTTGACTGGTCCTATTGCCACAAAATCTATATAGTGCAATATCATGGGACATGCTTCCTGACTGCAAAAATATAATTATGTCAATCATGCACCATGTAGCAGCAGCAGCACCACAGCAGAGTTCCAGCACACATATGCTGTTAATAGAAACACTCAAGTTTTCTGCATAGTTGTCATAACTCCAGTGCATAGAAAGCCGATATTTTAAGAAGCTATGTTGCAAAGGTAGCTTCTAGCAAATGTACTTCAAAAATAACTCTTGAACACTGATAGTTTTGAAATCTTATGTCATTAGGCCTAATTAAGAACATGCAAGTATGATGCTCCACACACCAATGTCATGTAGATTTGACATTGGTGCAGTGGTCGATTTCCACTCCAGTGCAGTGGAAGGGTTTTTTTTTTGGCAGACTGACATGCCACTACCGTGCATCAATTTGCTTTCTGTCAGGCATTTAGTGAGTCTTAATGACTGAGTAACATGAATGCTGAGACAAATGATGACTGAATGTTATAGCGGCATTGTTTAAGCCAGTATTCTAGCGGCACAGACACCTGCAGGACAGAAATTTCACAAAATAAGGTGGAAGTAGCTGGGGGAGAAACAGATTCGTTCCTAGTACCCACGTCCTTTTTAAGATTGTCCGCTGAAGCCCCAACTGAATGGATAACCACATCCCTGGATACCTACATCTATCTGTATCGATTCAAGCACCCCGCCCCGCGAGCCTTCCCCGATCACCCTATCCAAGCAACGTCCTCAGCTCAACACAGGTAACAAATCCCAGACCGCCAGACAAGCTGGCAAGGTTTATCAGGGACACGCGACGAATTCGGCGCAAGCACGAAGCCAAGGTTCTGGGAAATGCACAGCATACATTTGACTTGCACTAGAGCACTGCCAACGACGATACGGCGCCTGATGCTTGTGTCAGTCTGGTTGTGCTGAACATTTCAACACAGAAGCACGGTTGAAGTTTGGTGGGAGAGGGGATGCTGATCAGGGAAAATAGCTGTACTCACCTTCGAAAAAGGCAAAAAGCGTCATATTCTCCGGATTTCATTCATTTTTTTCTCAAGTTCATGGAGATACCTCAACACGCAGCACTCCTCTCGCTGAAATTATTACATGCCAACAGTTGATCAAAATACAGTTGATTTAGCGAGCCAGACATCACCGCAAACAAATATCATTGCTAAGGCAGTGGCTATGAATATTGTCAAGTTTCTGGCACGGCAGCTGGAACCAACAGTTGCGTAGGGGGAGACAGATGCATATAAGCTGAGCCTTCTGAACATCTCAGGGGCACCGTTCACCCGTTCACTCACTGTGCTCTCATTGTTTATGCCTCCTGACTGTGCACCCTTTGGTTTTTAATATTTTGTCTTTGTTCCTGCCGTGCTGATACAGACGGTGCCACTAACAAGCGTTCAAACAAGCCGCACATTAATGCCGCGACCTGGACGCGTCCATCGTTATTGGTGGACGTTAGCTACCCCATAGCAGCAAGCTCTACTACGGGAGCACAAGGCTGCGGAACTAACAGGCTAGGTACCAATGCACCACGATGATGCCACTACATTGCTTTAAAAATGTAATATAGTTTACATCACAAGTAGCACTTCTCTTGTGGTTTGTGTATTTCAAAACGCACGACCCTGACTGCTTTTGGGTAAATAAAGCGGACACAGTGGAATGCAATATCACGTCTACACAAATGCCGAGTTACCACATTGCCAGTAACGACAATGGTTTAGCGGAGCACGCGCTTGTGACAGCGAAACAAAACAAAATGCAACGAACCAGAAATCATGCAACTTCCGTTTCCCACGTAACCATACACGAAATTTCTAGACAGAAATAAAGGGCAAAGCGAAACGCCGGGCACCCTCAGACGGCGACAACCCTGTGCCAAAGACCAGCGACAACATTTGAGCATTGCAAGGCCGCCGCGGGCCTCCGGTCGGTTGGAGGAAGCGCTCATAGTGTCACGGGACGACTCTCGCTGCGTCGTGGCGGCGCCTCTCAAAATGTCGCGCCGAGGCTGAGATTACCGACAGCCAGCGAGCCCGGCGGCGGGCTCAAAATGCACAGCACCGTTCACTCCCAGTCCCGTTAAGTCTGTCCTCCGCTGCGCCCCGACGGCAGCGGCTACAGCTCCGTCTTGGGCGGCAGTTCGTCGAGTTCGACGTCGCTGAGGTCGATGTCCTCCTCCTCGGGCAGCTCGCCGTCCTTGCCGTCCCAGGCGGGTACCTCGTCGGCGGTCGGCAGGCTGGCGCCGCGGATGGTGCTGGTCGAGCCACGCCCGTACGACAGGTCCCGCAGGAAGTCGTTGATGCCATCGAAGGTGAACGGGCCGCGCAGCGTGGCGAACGAGCCCTTCTTCTTGTTGACCACCACCATGGCCGGGTATCCGAAGCCGCCGATGTCGACGGAGGTCTCAAGCGCCGACTGGGCGGCCGCCTCCGACCACAGCCAGCCCCACTGCTTCTGCTTGAAGCGCTCGCCGAGGCGTGCCAGGTCGGCCAGGTGCGCATCACGGCACGCTGACTGGCAGTCGAGGATGTGCGGCAGGAAGGCGATCACGCACAGGCCATGGTCTTCACACGCCTCCTTCAGCACGGCGTTCGACGTCACCTGCGGCGCGGCGGTCCGGGTCAGACGCACACCCCGGTCAGACGCACACCCCCGGGCACGGAGACGCGGGCACGGTCCGCCCGCCCACGGCACAGAGGCGGCACCAGTGCACCCCGAAAGGCCCGCCGCAGCAGCGCGGGACCCGAGGCCGATCTAGACTGACGGACGCCGTGACCCGCTGCGAGTGAGCCGAGTCAAGAACGGGCCGGGTGACTGCAGAACGGCCTAGCCCAAATACAAATGCACGTTAATTCTTACACCGCAACAGACTGGCACAACCGTACATACATGAAAATTGTTGACTTATGCTTATCCATCATCAAACAATGCACCTTTTCCACCTTAACTCATCAGAGTCGACAACCAAACTGGGTCAAGGCAAACCAGGTTGGCACCATAATCCGTAGATAGCATCGATTTTGCAACACAATACACTCCTACGCAACACGCTGAGATAGCCGCAGCATGGCCAGGATAGACCACAACACGTCTCCATTTGCCAGCATCCCCAGCAGCAGCATCAGCAGCAGCAGCAGCATCCCGGCAGCCGAGCGCCGCCAGCCGTGGCGGCCGTCCCCGGCCCTCGGGGTGCTGCTCCACACCTGTTTGATCTCGGGCGCCGGCAGCAGGGCCACGGCCTTCTCCTCGGCCCAGCGCACGATGTCGTCAGCCGTGCGGCCGCCGTCGTATTCCTCGGCGCTGCCGCGGCTCTTGGAGCCGCCACCGAAGAACTTGATGGTGGGGTAGCCCTTGACGCCATACTCACTCGCCTTACCACTGTGCGCCGTGGCGTCCAGCGCGCCCAGCTTTACCTGCCGGCGGCCGGGACCGGGTAGGCGGGGTCAGACGGATCATACAGAGTCACATGGGGTCAGACAGGGTCAGACAGGTCACACAGAGTCACACAGGGTCACGCAGGGTCAGACTGGTCAGCTGGGGTCAGCTGGGTTCAGACAGGGTCAGCTTGGTTCAGACACAGTCAGCTGGGTTTAGATATGGTCAGCTGGGTTTAAACATGGTCAGCCAGGTTCAATCATGGTCAGCTGGGTTCAGACGGGTCAGACAGAACAACGCGGTCCGGGACGGGGTCAGACGGGTCACACGGGCTCACGCGGGGTCATGCGACCGAGACGTGGGTTATGCGGCTCCCGGGATCAGACGAGGTCAGGCTGGGCCGTAAGACCGAGACGGGGGTTATGCAGCCCCAGGATCAGACCGGAACGGCGGGGGTAGTATGAAGACAGGAGAAGAAAACGGGGTGCGGTAACCGGGACCGGATCAGAAAACGTGGTGGCCATGGAATGGCCACAGGGCCAGACAGGGTACTGAAGTATGACAGAGTGGTGGCCAGAAGGTGTGATGAGGATAGAGAACAAGCCTGGGGACACCAATGCCGGGTGAGGCGGAGGATAGAGTTGGCTGTGCATGGCCGACATTGCATGAAGGCACAACAGAAGGGAGAGGAACGCCGTTTACAGCGAGACACCAAAATCCCGCCGACACAAGATGGGAGTGATCAATGTGCCTGCATTATTACCATGTACCAACCACCTTACATGACAATCGCCTTCTGGGACAATGTTGAACACCATAAGCACAAGGCAGTATCACATGTACATAATGATGCAGCACTAGAACCACCTGATGGAACGAATTTACCAAAAGGGCTAACAGTTAGTAATAATAATGTCAGGTTTGTGGCATTACCTGGTAACATCACCCCATTGCCAATCAGAAAGTATTTTGTTTGAGAGCACAGGTCCATGACCAATATAAGACCCACATACTAGCAGTTAATTGAGTATTTCAGCAAAGGTTTCAGCACCAATATCTTGTTACTGCCACTGCACCAAAAAACTCATTGTTCCTCCCACCAAATGTCAAGTCTAAAATTAGCAAGTTGTCAAGTACATTTGCAAGAAAAGTTATGCAGATAGACAACACAGTAGTAACAGCATTATTTTTTACATAAAGAGGAGATCTATTTCTCTTCTCCAGGATTTATATCTCCATTCTCCTGTTTTTTTTCCTCTGGGGAATAAGGCTTTCAGTACTGTCTTACAAACATCCCGTCAGTTAAAATCAAAATGGATGGCCAATGGACAACACTCATCATTTAGTGAGTCACGCACCTTGCCCTTGAGCCTGCTAGCGGCCTCAGCCCAGTGGGGTGCCAGGTTCTTGCAGTGGCCACACCAGGGGGCGAAGAACTCCACCAGCCAGATGTCATCTGACTCGATCACCATCTTGTCAAAGTTGCTGTCGGTCAGCTCGATCACGTCTTTGGCGTCCCCGCCGCCGCCGCCGCTACCGCCGCCGCCGCCGCCCGACTGGGGGATACGCAGACGACGGCGTCAGCGCGCGAGCGCCCCCGACTCAGAGGATGCCAGGCTCAGGAGGCAGGCAGGGGGACCAACACCGAGCCGCGCTACCCGCCCGCAACGAGCGGTGAATACGAGGCCAGCAAATCTCCGGTGACTTAAGACGCTGCTTCCTCGTCTCCAGACAACAAGCAGCGACGGGCGTTCCTCGCTCCCGTACCTCACCACACCACACATGCCAGCACGCCGCGGTCCTTACTTTGCCGCCGCTGCGGGCGTTGACCATGTCGCGGACCGCCTTGAGGCCGCCATCCACCAGACCCTGGGACGAGCGGGCCCCCTGGTAGTCCTCAGGCTTCTTCTTGTTGAGGCCAAACACCTTGATGGTGGGGAAGCCGCGCACGCCGTACTGACCGCCCAGCGACTGGTGCTGGTCAGCGTCCACAGCGCCCATCTTCACTACACCCTGACAAGGCACGGTGGTCCGCGGTCAGCACAGGTCATCAGCGCGCACTGACTGGCAACACTGCACACCAAAGGGCTGGGGTCACCACACTGGCCACAAAAGAAAAAATCTCCACTAGGATGCTTCAACTCACTGTCATTTCCCATGGTCAGTTGGGTGTGAGGGCCTTTGCATTACCAGTTGTCAACATGGCTTTTAAAAACACATGCCATAAGTTAAATGTAACAATAAATAATGATATGTCAATAATGATAAAGATGGAAAGCAATAGACTAAAATAAGAATAAAAAGGAACAAAATGTGAATGCATTATAAATGAATGGGGACATGCATGTAGCATGAGCATAAGAATGCAAAACTGTTGCCCAATAACAAAAGTGCTGGCTTATCAATCACACTAGTTGCAAATACCACTCCTATGCACATTTCTTTAAGCTCTGATAACTATTCAAAAATAATTATGACCAAGGTTGCAAAAAACAAAAGTATTGAACATGAAAGAGCACATCAATATTTTGCATACCTTTAATGCTGTTGCTGCCTTTTTGTACTCTGGAACCAAATTCTTACAGTGACCACACCATGGAGCATAGAACTCCACAATCCAGACACTATCACTATCTATCACTTCTCTGTTGAAGTTGCTAGGTGTCAGTTCGATGACATCATCCCTTGCTGAGTACAGACCGTCACTGGCAGCAATCAGCCCAAACAGCAGCAGGGCTGAAATGGAGAAAATACATCAGTAATATGCAGTTAAATCAATAATACATAGATATGTGGTTAAATACATAGATATGTGGGAACAAGCATCACAAGCATGCAGTTAGCCACCAACAAAACCCACCTAGTAAATGCATGGTGTTTCAGAACCACCAATGCTTAGAAATGTGTTACAATGTGGAAACATAACAATAGAACATGTGCTGATTTGATCACAAAATGGTCAAATTTCATCACTTTTAATGTATATATGAAACTTGATACAAATGCTGAACAGTGACATCATTCAGTTTTGAATGCACCTAACCAATCTTATTTATCCCCATCAGCAAACAACTTTTGCTCAGTAAGGGATGCCTACACAGCATCAGCATGACATGTCAGGCAAGACCGTTCTGGTGCAGCCTCAGCTCAACCCAAGTCATACGTGCAAAATTTTTGAACTGCAAAAATATCCTTAGGGTATTTCTGTCTGAAAACACCAGACATCATTCTTTGAAACATTGGCTCTTATAAGGCAGAACTCTGAAAGCCCAGGTTCACAAAGTAAATGCACAACCTTGCAGTTTTTTGTGATGTTGCTGTGACAAAGGCATAATGTGCATTTTGTTGCAGTCTGATACTTCGCAGGTTACAGAAATCTTAACATCATGCATGTCCTATTTGACCATTGGGGCAGCAACAGCACTTCAAACGTGGCACTCCAAATGTGGCACTTCAAACGTGGCACTTCAAAAATGTGCAACGTTTGTCCACCTTACGCCGCATAGTTGGGTATAATTACCTGAAAAACTGCAAAAACATAGACTTACCGAACCAGGTATGTATACGTGACATTACTGCTTAACTACAATATCACAGCGATATGTCACGATTTGATCCTGCTTCTTGAGGTCACACAAAAACCCCTGTAATGACGATAAATCAAGTACTCTTGAGAAGTTGAATTTAATCAGAAAACTTGCAACGCTCCCGGGCCCTCTCCGGCTTCGAAACTCATCGGAGGAAATTTGCGCCGAGTATGTATCGTCCTCGCAGTCACAGCGAATCTGCCCGAGCCGGCTCTGGATGACGTCATAAGCGTACGTGTCGCCAGTCAGACGCGTCCAACTGCTCCACGAGTGGTTCACAAACTTGGCAACATGTGATTGGTCGATAATGACGTCATACAAGAAGTTGCGAGCCCGTGGCCCAGCAGCCACGCGAACGGCGCCGTGCCACAGTTACCGGATCCTAACGTGTCAGGCGTGAACGGGGGCGGATGTCAGGTGCGGGCGGAACAGGGGAGGGGAGCACGGAGGCACGATGCCATGGACATAGCCGGCTAAACAGACGCAGTCTTCTTTACGCTACAAATGCCATACAAAATTGGACGTCTTCGGATTTCCAGGTGACCGAGGACAGTCGCAAGCGGAAATGCGCCTACGAAAAGGTGGAAATAATTCTTCGCTGATTGGCATGGTGGGGATTGGGAGATTTTAATGTTCATTACGGTGTTCAGAGGCCATACGCTGTTCCCGGGGGCCCTCAATATTCGCTTGCATGCTCGATGCGATCGTTAAGGAGCGTTTCACGCTGTCCATATTTTCTTTTTGCATTTGCAGCAAGGGACTTGCGCTGTTGGTGGGCCCTTCCTGCTGGCATGTTGGGACAATCTTGTCAATCAGGGGCCTTCCTCAGATTCTTTCCAATCGCTCGAAGGGATCCTCACGCTATAGCCGGAGCCCCATGTGTTAGCCGGCCGGGGCTGCTCGGGGGCCCTTCACGTTGGCCTCGGTTTACGTACCGGCACACTTGCGATTTGCTTATGGGCCCACTCCACTAGTATAGGGCCCTTCCAATTCTCTGTCACTTGCTTAGGGCCCTACGCCCATGTCGGAGGCCCTTCTGTTAACCTGCTTGGACACATTCGGTCCTTTGGATTTCAGGTACTTCCTATTTGAATTGAGGACCATATACACTTGTCGTGGCCCCCACCAGTTCACCTGCTCGGGCACACTAGGCTGCTCGGGGGTCCTGCACATTGGGTTTTAACATATGAATGTAGGACGCTATACGTTTCTGTCGGGGGCCCACCTGATAACCTGTTCAGGAACACTCGATCTGTCGGGGGCTCTCCACACTAGGTCTTGGGTGCTTCTTATTTGAATGGAGGGCTCTACGTTGTTGTCGGGGGCCTATCTGATAACCTGCTTTACACACTCAATCGTTTGGAGCCCTCTACTTTGGGTCTCGGATTTTTCCTATTTGAATTGAGTGCCCTACGTGCTTATCGCGGGCCTTATCTCTTTATCTGCTCGGGTGTACTTGATCCTTCAGGGGCCTCCACATTGTGTTGTGGGTATTTCCTATTTGTGGCTTAGTTATTAAATTTTGGCATCCGCGGTCACATGGAAGGGTTTTTACAAAACTTTTTGACTGAATGAAATTTCGAGTTCATATTGGTTCTTATCATCCGACAGGTATTCGCAAGAAAATGGTGTGCCTCGGGACAGCCTATACAGTGTCTTTCTTTTCGCCGCGATGATAACTGATATACTGCACACACTTCCACGTGGGATCAGCCGTTCTCTGTTCGTAGACGACTTCATTATTTGGTGCAGTTGGTCGACCAGTCGCGCGAGGGAGCGCCAGCTGCAGCTATCACATGACTGGGACAATGGAGCGTGCTCAACGAGTTTCTGTCTTCCGAAACTCAGTTTATGTCTGTTTACAAGCGCCGTGACAAGCGCAGTTTTTGTCTGCCGCCGTCCCCATTATTGTCCTGAGATGGCAATAAGACTACATGGGCAGCGCGTCGCTACTGAGAATGCCGTGAAATTTCTGGGTATACGATCTGACCAACATCTTACATACCGAAAGCACATAAGAACCTCCGCGACAAATATACAAAATCCCTTCACATTTGAAGTTGGACGTACATCACACGGTGCTGATAGGAGGACGCTCTTACTTTTGTGCCGTTCGCCCATTCGTTCAAAACTGGACTACAGATGTTTTATCTATGATGGCACATCAAACCTGATCAAGCGTGCTTAAAACATAATGCACTACGCCGCACTATGCGTCGCCACAGGGGGTTTTCGAACATAGCCAATAGATAGTCCTCTGGTAGGGAGGGGCTCATGGGCCTCGCTAGGATTGCAAAGGCAGATACTGATTTTGGATTTTGTTTTCGGAGTCAACCCTAGACTCTAGGGGCCCGCAGTGTTGCGTGCCCGCCTCCTTGACGAAATGCTGGATCCGCCCCTGGTTGTGAGGGGCAGTGCCACGAATTTCAAATTGGGGGGGGGAGGGGGAGGGCAGGATTTCCCAGGGCCTCCGGGAGAAAATGAGACCCCTCACATGGGCCTCCTGCTCGGAGTGTCAGTTTTTGTAAATGGTTGGGGTGGAGGCGGGCGAAGGGCCCGACCATTATTTGCCCGCCTTTTTCTCATCGGATTTGGCCCATCTTATGTTAACGAAAGGTAAGTCGTACGTACTTTAAATTTCATATCATTACAAATGCTATTTGATTTATGCACCGCAATAGTCATGCGGGAGTGAATTTAGGGGGAGGGGGGGGGGGGCACTGAAAGCAGGTGCCCCTTCTGATCGGAAAACAAGGGTGCCCCTCTAGAGGCCGTCTTAGGGTACCGAAGACACCTATGGCGGCCATGGGCGGGGACACGTATTTTTGCTTGTGTAAGACGAAGACTGGGATAGCTATGAATGACCTGGGTCATTCCCGGGCGCCAGAACCTTCCAGATTAACCTCATAAACCTTTGCCCGTCCTATGGCCCATTGTGTGTAAAGTTTATTGCATCATCTATCCGCATAGCAGTTACGAATTTCATCTGACGGTGAAAGCAAACATGACTTTTTATCACGAGGGGAATGACATTCTTGTGTTGGTTGAGGCACTACTCTATACCACAAACATGAAAGTTTTCTCTCCATGGGTGCAGTAAACATTCGCCTAAATTACCGGATCCAGGTACGAAGTTTGAGTGCCTAGCCATTCGGCCAAATCACATAACTTATTATGCGTTATGTAAGTTTTCATTACGTAACTTACATAACGCATCTATATCTCCATTCTTCAGTTTTCTTTTGGTCCTTGGACATAAGCTATAACATCCCTCGTAAAACAGTGGCGCTTCATTAAAGTTATGATTTTTGGGTGCCTCACGAGTAGCGTGCACAAATTTTGGGCTGAATTTGGCATGGTACCACAATTTTTTTCTTCAATTCAACGATGTCATGGCATCAACAATTGTAGTCAACAACGTCATCATAATCAATAATGCCAGACAACACTCAAGTATATTCAATAGCTCATAATGAACAATTTACTTGGATGATATTTGTATTGAATTGAGACTAATAGCAAACTGTTCGGCTCAAAATCACGCAAGTTGTTATGTGCATTTGCAAATTCGTTTCACTGAAGGCATGTTGTCGAAATATGAACGCATCTATTACCCTGTTTACATGGGCAGCTGTGATTCGAATTGAGCCGGGACCCGTCCTCGATCCGAACTATCCGGCCCATGTATACACTCACGCGCCGTTCCGCTGATTCGAATCGTGCGCCGAAGGAAATCCCTTCCCGTGAGAGGATCATCCGTTCAGGAAGGGATTTCGTCCGAATTATCGGCCGTCAGCTGTCTAAACAAAAAAAAAGAAAAATGCCTGGCGCACGCAGTTCTGTTCATGGCCATTTCAGCTTCGTTTGGTGTTGCCGCTTTTCCACGGGTTTTTAGCTATTGCTCGAGACGGTCCAAGTCCAAGATGGTAAAGGAAAAGAGAAAGAAGGTGAAGTTGACACCATGCTGCTAAAACTACCCTTAATATTGAGGGCCTTGAGTGGCTGGCAGCACAGAAATCCTCACGTAATTTAGCCTTGCTAGGCGCGTGATCTATGCAGACAGCAGGCGTCGGCGGTGTTTGGTGTTATCTTTCCGCCTAAAGGTTAGATTAATTTACATCTGGGGCAGGCTCCATGCTTCCAAAAGCCAGATGGAGGTAATGTGGTCATTTTATATAGCTTTGACTTGTTCTCACTTTAATTTTTGGATTGCTCAAAATTCTTGCAGAGAATGCCTCCAAGTTTCTTTCATTAAGTTAATACCTAAAGGCCCCAGGAGTGTTTTTGCAGATGTTCCTTAAATTAGGATGCTGGTTGCTTGTCAGTTAAATTTGTGTGAGAAAGGTAGCTTAAAAATTGCTGCGTGATATGACGGATGAACAAATATAGATCATTGCAGTCAGCTCGGAATGTGAATTTTTTTAACGGTAGGACCGAAATTGCCCAATGACAGGGTCAGAACAGCAAGAAAGCAAATGTGAACACTGGATGAAAATAGTTGTCATCATTACTCTGCTAAATCCAAGTTTGTGTGTTCCATGTGCAGGAAAACAGTGCATAAACTAACACCTAACGTGATGGCACATGCTGCATGGAGAACATGTCTGTGTTGCATATCATCACCTGTTTTTGTACTGATGATTAAATATGTCACCTTGGTGCTTTTTTGTGATGGGTGTCTGCAGGCCATGAGGTAGGTACTTGAACTGTTCAACAATTCTTGCAGGGAGTACCAATAGTTTCTTGCATTAAGTGAATACATAAATGCCCCAGGATTGATTTTGCAGACATTCCTCCTGTGACTTGAACATTTGGTTGACCACCTATTGGCAGGAGGGATGTGCTGGATATTGGTGACTGGCTCGTCAAGGAAATATGAAGCTACATCACACTGGTAGACCAAATGGCAAGGAAGCGGGGGCTGGAATATTTGTTTTTGATGTGATTAGGCTGTTTGTTGCTTGTTGGTTTAGTGTGTGTGATAGGTAACTCAATAATTCCTGCATGATGCAAAGGATCAACAAATATAGGCAATAGATCATTGCAGTCAGTGCAGGATGTGAACTATTTTTAATGATGGGGCCAAAATTGCCCAGTGCTGGTTCCAAAATGTCAAGAAAGCAAATGTGAGCACTGGATGAAAATAGCTGTCATCAGTACTCTGTCAAATCCAGGTTTGTGCATTTCACGTGG